CTTAGACATGGTCAACTTAAACTGTTGTATCTCGTGACTGATCTAAAAAAATTTTTCAAATAAGAATAACATCATAAATCATGAAAAACTTAAAACGTTTTATAAAAACTATCATTTAGAGATATCGAGATAGGTCATTTTCTTGTATAATAAGTAACTAGGCATTCTGCTCATCCAAACCTAAATTTAGGATAAGATTAAGATCAGAAAATTTGTGGTAGGTAAAGATAAATCATCAATTTTCATATTTAGGATAAGATAAGATAAACGTTTATGAAAAAAGAGGTTCAGTTATATTTTTTATAGCTTGAAGAATGCAAATAGAAGCAGAGATTTATTTTAGAATCACCGAAAAATTTATACTCGAATTAAAATTAGATATTGATCGTCTAAGATTTTCACCCGAAAATTAGCGTAAGAAAATTTTCGGGTGTCTGAAGAAAGACCGAAATTGTGTTGGCCAAAGTAAAAATTTTTCTTGAAATTCTATTCTTGGTGGAAGTCATTTTTTCTTAATTCAAATTATCAAAAATACTTGATACAATAAATTTTTATATGTGCAACCTACTTCAGCTGAGAAATAAATTTTCTGACCTTGAGAAAATTTTTCTCTTGAACATTTGATACCCTTTTTATATTATTTTAGCGTGCAATTATACATATTGAATGGAAAAAAAATGATGAAATATTATTTGATCTTCCCATTAGACATGTTAATCAATAAAAATATTAATGAAAATTTACTTCTATCTTTATATTTATTTTTTTGGAGCAAGAGAAAAATTTTTTCAAGACAAGAAAATTTACTTCTATCAAGAACTAAATTTTTTGGAGCAAGAGGCTGAATTTTCTCAAAACAAGATTTTCTTTACTTAAATAAATTTTCTTGGATCAAGATCCGTATTTCTTAAAGCAAGAGAATTAATTTTGTTGGAATAAGTGAAATTTCTTGTCAAAAAAAAAATTTTTTTTCGCTCAAAAAAATAATTAGGAAGAAAACTATTTTCTTGGCTCAAGTGAACCTTTTTTTCTGTGCAATATGCAGAGGAAATTAATAAAAATAGTATGTTTATAATAGCTGCCATGGATAGACATAAATTTAGGAGTTTACAGCAAACTAAAGCTATGCTAATAGAATTTATTTAGTGTATCAAGTATCGTCTGCGTAAATTATTTATAGATATATATATAGAATATAGATATATATATATATTGTTATCATTATCTGGAAAATGATTATCGAGTTGGACGTAGTATAGTTGCCGGCACGGATAATAAAATGAAAAAGAAAATGAGGGAGACAAGCGGATGGTATTTATTGCCGTAGTATGGTGAAGCGGCGTGTTGTTGTGGGCCGTTCTGTAGGACAGGATATAGGGAAGCCTATAATACGGTTTTACCGCGAGGCCGCACTCTCCACGCAACACAACTATAAATTAATGTATATGTGTAATGTTGGCGCGTCGGATTTGCCGGGCTTGGTTACGTTGGCTTATATATGTATGTATATTTATATATAAGTATATTCTGTAAAGCAGTGATGCTCTCTCAATATAATCTCTTTCTCTTTCTCTGAATATAATAACACTGAGCATCAGCATCAGCAGTGTGCGGTTTTGCCGGAAAGGGGCGTCGATGGGTTCGGTGGCCAGGAGACCTCGGGGCAAAGTGAGGCTACGGTTCGGTTGGTTCAACGTTGGACAGCGGGGTCAGAAGGGACGCAAGCCAGTCGGCGTGTTTGATCTCCGCCACGGGCGCCGACAAAGCATTTCGTTGAGCTCTCTTCCTCTCTGCCCTCGCTCCATTCGTTCCGTCTCTCCTTTCTTGTCTCTCTCACACCCAAACGGGTTATCAAAATCCGTCTCGTGTTATTTAGCTGCCGTGTGTATGGTGAGAGTTTGACAAGGACAGCGTGAAAATGAGCGAATGAGAAAAATAAATATGGATAGTGAGAGCGAGAAAGACAAATGGTGTTACTACATGAGTATGAGTAACTGACAAAGATGAGAATAGACCAGCTGCTTTGCTGTTGTTCTGCCGTACCGTGGCGAGAAGAGACCAAGTGCCTCAGGGATGACGGACCATCCAGCTTTTTTATTTTTCTTCTTCTTCTTCTTCTTCATCATCATCATCATCATCATCATCATCATCATCTGCTTCTTCTTATTTTTCTTCTTTAGCTTTAGCTTCAGCTTCAGTTTCTCTTGTCTCTCAACTAAACTCAACTCCTTCACTTCTCTGCTCAGTTGGACTCGGTTTAGTTCTGTGTGTATCATATGCCTCCTTTTCCATTTTGTTCTTCTTCACTCTATACTAGTATTGTTGTTATTGTACTCAATGCTCCATGCTGGATACTGCTACGTTTCGCGTCCAGATGAAGAACAACCGAATAGAGAGAATTCTCGACACTTCTTATCATCATTATTCGCTTTAGCTTTTGCGAAACTAGTCCAGCTGTGTTTTTGTAAATATTCTATTGAGTGAAACGGCTGCCCAATTTTAAAACACAGTACCTGCAAAATTTTAATACCTAATTTTTTTTCAATATTGCTGCATTTTTTATAACTTTGTGACCTTAATTTCAAGTATTTTTTCTTAAAAATATTTATATTCAAGTATTTTCTATTCATAAATCAAATTTTTCATCAATTTGGCAGGCCATTTTTTTTTAATACAAATATTTTTCTTTCTAATAATTTTCTTGAGCGAAAAAAAAATTTTTTTTTGACAAGAAATTTCATTTATTCCAACAAAATTAATTCTCTTGCTTTAAGAAATATGTATCTTGATCCAAAAAAATTTATTTAAGTAGAGAAAATCTTGTTTTGAGAAAATTCAGCCTCTTGCTCCAAAAAATTTAGTTCTTGATAGAAGTAAATTTTCTTGTCTTGAAAAAATTTCTCTCTTGCTCCAAAAAATTAAATATAAAGATAGAAGTAAATTTTCATTAATATTTTTATTGATTAACATGTCTAATGGGAAGATCAAATAATATTTCATCATTTTTTTTCATTCAATATGTATAATTGCACGCTAAAATAATATAAAATGGGTATCAAATATTCAAGAGAAAAATTTTCTCAAGGTGAGAAAATTTTTTTCTCAGCTCAAGTAGGTTGCACTGCTTCCCTAGAGTATGTCTAAAAATCTTGATCAAATATAAAAATTTATTGTATCAAGTATTTATGATAATTTGAATTAAGAAAAAATTACTTCCACCAAGAATAGAATTCCAAAAAAAATTTTTACATCGGCCAACACAACTTCGGTCTTCTTTCAGACACCCGAAAATTTTCTTGAGCCAAGAATTTTGTTCTCCAGTCAAAAAATTTTTTTTCTGTGCAGTTTCATTAAATTTTAAAAATTAGTTATGTGTTTGAAGATGTTGGATTACGCTAATCTAGAGATACGGTAAAATACGCAAGAGATTCACCGAGGGTTAATTGAAGTACAAATAATTTTTTTATGCTACTCACTTGACAACTTTTAAAATAATTTACCTTCCTAATTAGACGGAACTTTTCAATCCAACCGGTACTTAATAAATTTCTTCGAAATTATACAGTTGGTTGGAGTAAGAGTCAAATTAAAACTTTTTAATGAGCAGTACTGATGATAATAATTCAAGAAAACATTTTGTTTAAATTATATTTCAAGAGATAAATAATTATTTATTCTCCGAAGAAGAAATAAAATTGAAGAAGTAAATATTTAAATTTTAGCTTTTCCCACAATAAAAATAAAAATCTCGAAGAAAAAATATTTTAAATTAACGCGTATTAATTTTCTTGCTAAAAATCAATTTTTTCCCGATAATTAAAATAAAATATTCAAACAAAAAATAAAATCTAAAGATAAAATTGATTAAATTAAGGTGTGTAAAAGCAATGATTAATGAAGCTTACATTAATTAATTAATTTAAACGTCAAGCCATTGTTTCAGTTAATAAATTATCTGAAAGGGAAAATACAGCATGAGATTTTTTTAAGTATCTTTTAGCATGTCGGTTTATGCCGGGTTATTGTTGCTTATTTACTCTTTACTGCAATAATCCAACTACTGGTTCTTATTCTGATCTGAGCGTTCACTTCTAACGTGTTGCCACTCCCTCGTGGCTTGCATCAACTTTCCTATTAATAAATAACACCGCGCTCCATGCTACAACTCAACCGTCAAGTTCCGCTTCCCAAGATCAATTTATTCCTTTTTACAATTTACCTTTTTTACTGTCTTTTTAATTATACTCTTATTGTATGTATCTCCCAGGCTAATTTACATTTTTTTTTCGGCAATTAAAATTTATAATAATACTTTTAAGAGTTAATAAAAATTTATGTTTTAATTCGACTATTAAATAGACGCCTTTTTATCACTTACTTTTTTTTTTTTTTTTTCAATCCAATCCTATCCAGTGTTATGTTGGTTAGGTTTATTCTTTTATTAAATTCAATCATTTTTATTATCATAAGTAATAAATTTCATAAATTTTTTTGTTCTTCATCTTCATTACAGCTGATAAATTATACCTAAAAGCAGTCAATATAAAAGTTAATGATAATAAATTTTATTGCAGTGTTAAAATTAGAAAAAATTTCTTGATCCACTAAATTATTTTTATTTGAACTAGAAAAAAATTGTTTTTTTTTTTTTTTTTTTTTTTTAAGTATATACAAGTATAAATTTATTTTTATCTGTAAACATAACGGTACGTAGGTAATTTTAAACAAAACGAGTGTATTTAAAAAAACAAACACTGATAGTTTTACGATTTTGCGTCTAAAAATATTTCTGGGGTTTTCACTACATTTAAACGCCACCTGTCGGTCAGAAAACGTATCACTTCTATGGCAAGGTTAATTTCTATGTTATCTGACAGAACGAAAAAAAACATGGCTGCCAGTGAATTAACTTCAACACAAATGTGTTGACAAATTTGAGACAAAGAGGTTATAAATGAGTTAAAAATTTTTTTTAATTAGAAATTAGTAAATATTAAAAAATGTCTTTGTACGACGAATTTGATAAACATCGAGCATCTGACAAAGTTGCTGGCTGGTCATCAGGAATAAAGTTATTACAATCACAACTGCAGTTGAAAAAAGCTGCTGTTACTCAGGTAACTTTGTTTATGATGCTAAATTTAACAGAATAATTTTTTAGATTTTTATAACTATTAAATTAAAATTTTAAAATATTTTTGAAAAATTTGGCATTTAGAAATTTAATAAAAATTATAAATCCGAATATTTTATATTTTTTTTTTATTATAATTAAGTAATTTGTTATAAAAATTTCAAGAATTCTCAAATGTCTACTATTTTTAGATAATTTTGAAAATTAATTGAGGTATTTAATAATTTTAAGAATTTTTATGACAAATAAATAATTGCAAAAAAATTGACATTTAGAAATTATATAAAAATGAAAATACAATTTTTTTTTTAATAATTTTTTGGAGCAAATTTATTAGTTAAGAAAAAACTGTCAAGTGACTGCTAATTTTAATGTTATCAGATAATAATAAAGTCAGCCGGCGTATGTAATTTTTTTATTTTGTTTAATTTATTAATTTCGAACTAGACAATATTTTTTTTAAATTGCACTTACAGTTTTTCAAATTTTTTACGAATGAAATTAAAAAAAAATTTTTTTGTAATAATTTTTTCAATAAAAAAAATTCTAAAAATTTTTAAATTTCGGCTAACTTAATTTTACTCCTAACAAATTTTTAGATTTTTACAATAAATTTGATATTTTTAGTATCATAATGCGTTTATACATCTTCGATAAATAACTAGAGCTTTATTTTAAATGTATTAATTGTATGATTTGTTTTTGTAGCCAAAACGCGAGCAGTTTCGCAAAGCTACGACAGTCTTGCCACCGGTGATTGATTTGAAATCAAAAGCGTCGAGTCGGGATGCGGCTGCAGCAGCTGCAGCCGCAGCTGCTGCTGAACGTGATGAAGATGGATCAACGGTGGCAACTAATAATACAAATGTGTTTACTAATCAAGTAGTTAATTCGGCGACAACCGGAGAGTACGACTGGAATGTTATCAATGAGTATGATCCGCTCTGGCCGAATGAGTACGAGAAGGTGGTCAAGGAACTCAGGGATATACGTGATAAGGAGTATGAACAAGAAGCTGAACAACGAAAGCGACGAAGAGAAACTTCACGATTTGAAGAACCAGTAATTTATATTTTTTGTTTTAGTTATTTAATTATTTTTAATATTTCAAAAGGATTACTATCAAGTTTAACTAAGAAATTAATCAAGCTAAGAAATTTAAAAAAATAAAACAAATAAGTTTTTTTTTTTTTAAGACATTGAAATTAGCAGACACTTAATAATTTTTTTATTTTTCTTTAAAAATAAACTAGATCTAAAAAATTACTAAAAAAAAAATTGCATTTATAATTTTTTGGAGCTTCTAAAGGTGCAATTTTTTAAAATAATTTTTTTTTTTTATAATTTATTTGTTAAAAACTTTCTAAAAATTATCAGACGTCTCCAAACTTTAGTATTATTATTTTTTTTTTTTTTTATCAAAAACTTCAAATTATTTAATCAATTTAAATAATTAATATCTATAGTATTTAATTTAATAGAAACAAAATATTAAAGTTTAATTGATAAAAAAATTTAATGAATTTATTTCGCAATAAAATTTCTATTTAAAGGAACAAAAAATTAATTGAATCTATTTTTCAGAGTTTAATGGTAAATACCATGGTCGCCCCTGAAAGAGATGAAGAACGTACAATAACATCTCGAGGAATAGCTGGTGGTGCAGCAATAGCGCCTCCACCATCTTTGCAAGAGTCCGCAGAAGTAATAATGCCTCTAACCAGCACACCAATCCGACCACCCACAACACCTGGAGTCGGTTACACCACATCCTCGGTAGCAGCTAAAATAATGGCTAAATATGGATTCAAAGAGGGGCAAGGTCTTGGTAAGAAGGAGCAGGGTATGTCTGTCGCTTTGCAAGTTGAGAAAACTAGTAAACGTGGTGGTAGAATTGTCAGTGAAAAGGAACAACTAATGCCGCCTCCACCGGCTGTTAGTTTATCACCGCCTCCCAGTGCTCAACCTGCCGAAGAACCAACTATAACTGAGATCATGAAGAGTCCTAGCAAAGTAATAATTTATTTTTTCTTATTTAAATCTTTATTTATTTATTTAACCAATTATTTATTTAATTATTTAACTAATTATTTATTTATTTATAAATTAAAGGTTGTACTGCTGAGAAATATGGTAGGACCCGGTGAAGTTGACGCAGATCTTGAACCAGAAGTTAAAGACGAATGTAATACCAAGTACGGAGATGTAGGACGTGTATTAATTCATGAGGTAATGGATGTACCTCCTGAAGAAGCAGTAAGAATTTTCGTTGAGTTCAAACGAATTGAAAGTGCTATAAAAGCGGTCGTTGATTTAAATGGAAGATTTTTTGGTGGAAGGCAAGTTAAAGCCGGGTTTTATTCTAGTGAAAAGTTGGATAATTTACAGTTAATGGACTAGTTAAGCTACTTATTAGTTTTATTTTAATTAATAAAAAATTTTTTACATAAATCTGTACACTATATATATCGACGGTTTCTTTTGCTTGGATAATTACCTTTAACAATTTACGGTAACAATTTGTAAATAGTTCATATTATTCTTTAATAATAACAGACTTAAATAAAGCATATCTTAAGTTTTATATATCATATATTATGTAGAAATATTTAATAGCTTGTGTAAAAAATTCCTTGCTAATTTATTTAAGATTGTTCTACTGGAAGTGTTTTACAACCATCGGGAAGAACTTTAAATTTCTTACAAACTTCTTGTAATAAATTTATTAAAATTGATGACTGATCATCGGAATCCTGAAATTTTTAAGGGTTTTATTAATATTAAGCTTCATTTATGTCATATCACTGGAAAAAGTTTCGATGCGATACATCGACATGCAACTACTTTATTTATCAATTAAGTGACTGATTGATTTTATTGGCTTCAATCCACGATGTGTAGTCATAATAATATTCACAGAAGTTAAGTGACATTTTGTTTAAGAAAAAAGCATGTCAGTGCTTCAAACTACTGAAATATATATTTTTAATTACATGAAAAATTTATTTAAAAAAAAATTTATAATAAATTTTAAACTAATTAATTTTTTATTAAAAAAATTGCTCATTTTTTTTAAATAAATTTTTTCTCAGAAAAAAAATTTTAAAATTAAACCGGCTCACTAACTAAAGTATGGATAAATTATTTAAGTGTTTTAATAAAAATTTTAAATGTCAAAATTGGATATTAAGGTAAAAGACCCATTTATTGACACTGGTCTCATTATTAACACTAGTAATTTTTATTTTAATTTAAAAAAATAAATCAACCCTAATAAATTAATAAATATACTTTTTAAATTATAAATTTTAAGAAAATTGGTTTTATGAGAACATTTAATTTTTTTAATTAGAATAAAATTGCAAATGTCAATAACTGGGTCTTTTATCTTATAATCATAAGATAATTTTATTTTTTGGATATTGTGATAATTTTTTTTTTCGATACTAATAATATTTTTTTAAGTTAAAAATTTTTCAAAATACCCGTATCGCTGTGAAATTTTTGTCCAGTAAAATTTTAATAACTAAAAAATTTCTACGAATAAACTTACACCATCGAGAGTAATTGTAGGTATAAAAGTAATGGGAGGTTTCAATGCATGTGTCATTTTGCCATATTGTGCCAATAATTCAGGACCTCGATTTGTTTTACTACAATTTAATATAGGCTCTGCATCTAAATGATATTTTTCAGCACACGTACGAGTTATATTTACTGGCCATAAATTATGCTCGATCATACATGTTAAGAAATTTAATTGAACAGCAGGATTTTTAATAATGTCGATAGCGCAAGCATGAATCATATTTGCTTCACACTCTCTTGGACCGTGTTGACATGTAAATTTATAGCCATTTGGTAGCTCAGTAGTCTGTAAATTTATTCAAACTTTTTAAATAAATCACTTTATATATTATAACTACTCTAATTAAGAGTCAAAGGGAATTATTTTTAAAAAAATGAATTATGGTCTTATCAAGCCATAAATTTAGTTAGAGAAAATTATAAATAAAATAAAAATACCATAATTAACTAAAAGGTCAATGAAACTTGTAGTAATGTGAAAGTATTATTTAACTCATATCTACTGATATGGTAATAAATCTTTAGCTTTAATGTTATATGATTTTTATGACATTAAAGTTAGCAATCTTGACCATTTTATATTTATTTTTAACAAACAAATTTGGTTTGAAAAAATATTTAAAAAATTTTTACATGTCAATTTTAAAGAATTTTTTTTTGCCATAATTTATTTGTTAAAAAAATTATTAAATATCTGAAAAGTTTTAGAATTTATTTTTATTGAAAAATTTATCACAAAAAAAATAAAAAAAAAAATTTCATTTGTAAAAAACTTGAAAAACTGTAAATGCAATTTTTAAAATATATTTTTTTGTTTTAATTTAATTAATTAAAAAAAAATCAAAAAATTAAAAACGTCGGCTAACTTTAGAATTATATTTTTATGAAAATTAAGTTAGCCGACATCTAAAAAGTATTAGAATTTATTTTTATTAAAAAAATTATTACAAAAAAAATTTCAATTGTAAAAAACTGTGAGTGCAATTTTTAAAATATATTTTTTTGTTTTAATTTAATTAATTAAAAAAAAAATCAAAAAATTAAAAACGTCGGCTAACTTTAGTATTATATAATTTTTGCTAAAACAGCAAACTGTAAATTACCGTGGCTTTTCCATATGGAATCATTTGAATGATAACATTATCAGGTAGCTTTTGATACGTTGGCTCGACATGTCTTATCACAAACCCACGTGAATCTGGACACAATGCTTCATAATAAACAGCGACAACAACTTTTTGTACATCTTTTGCTTTAACTACGTCCACATTCTCCTCATCATTTTCATTTATCTGCAATATAATAAGTTTAATTAAAAATTAAGACTGAGGTAATTTTTTTTTAATTTTATAGCAATTAAATTATTATAAAAAAAAATTCCTACTTGTAGAAATTAAAAAAAAATACTAGCAAAAATTTTAAAAAGTATTTTAATTAATAGCTGACAGCTAACTTCAGTATAATTAAAAATTAAATAAGTAAAAAAAAATAATTACCTGTGAATTAACTGGAATATCTTCTAAAATTCCTGTCCACGTTTTAACAAACTGTCGGAATACAATTAAAACAACTATGATTATCAAAAATCTAAGCCAGTATTTTCCTAACCCCATTTTATTCGTATTTTTTTTTTTTAACACTCGGTAAATCACATGGAAAATTCTTACTCAATTGAATTATTTATTATCTAATTATATATGATAATAACGAAGACATCAAGTTACTTTTCTATTACTATTAAATATAAAAATTGAGCAAGTTATTGAAATATAAATTCATTTTGTGCTACAATATTCTTTCAAAGTAAACAATTAATGACACGAGTAACAATGAGATCATTAAATTATTGAAGTTATTATTTTTTCATCTGTTATTTATATTTAAAAAATACAGCTGGTAAAAGATAATAATGATAAGATGGTTAAGAACTGTAATTAAAAAATTTAAGATATAGAAAGATTTTTTAATATAGTAAATGTGTTAGTTAAGAATTTTTTAAATTAGTTTATGTCTAATCAATATAAACATTGTGCCGGTATTGTTATTATCAGTCTTGTTAATAAATAGTGGAGTGCAATTATTTATTGATGCTCTAAATTGATAAGTGCCGTGCAAAATTTTTATCGTGTCACGTGTTTGTTTATATACATTGTTAAATAATAATTGTTTTGGTTTTTTTTTCTTCGTTTGGTAGAAACGACACTTGTCCATAACTAATTTATTGACGCGTTGCCAACTTATATTCGTTGAGGGATTTTTTTATGATACTGAAGTTAGCTGACAGCTGTCAATTTTTTTATTTTCATTTACATGACTTGAAGTTAGATGAAAATTAATTTAACTGATCTAATGATATTTAATAATTTTTTTGAGAAATTAATTGTTAAATATCTGCTGAATTAATTTATGAAAATAAATTATAAAAATTAAATTAGCCCATTTAAAAATTTTTAGAATTTTTTTATATGAAAATTAATTTAGCCAATATTTAACAATTTTAATAATTTTTTTAATCAATAAATTGCTGCATAAAAAGAATGAGAAAAAAAATGGACATTTACAAATTTTAATAAATTAAAAATGCAATTTTTTAAAAATAATGTTTCAGAACAAATTTTTTTGTTAAATAATAATATTAAAAAATGGTCAAGTGACAGCTAACTTTAATATCATTTTTTTTATTGAAAAAAAATTAAAAACGTCGGTTAACTTTAGTATTATAAATAAATTTAGCAGATATTTGATAATCTTTAAAATTCTTGTAACAAATAAATTATGTCAAAAAAAAAAGAATTAAAAAAAAATTAATGTGCAGAAATTTAAAAAAATAAAAAATGCAATTTTTTAAAACTAATTTTCTGGAACAAATTTAATTGTTAAAGAAAATTAAAAAATTAAGTGACAGCCAAATTAAATGTGATAATTAATTTTCAAATTGTTATAAAATTATTAAAAAAAATTTTATGTTTTCTTTTTAATTATTTTTAATCAGTGAAAATTTTTAAACAATTTTTTTCATTGTAATTAATTTGTTAAAAAAATTTTTAAAATTGACAGATGACAACTTACTTCAGTATCCTCATAAAAAATCAATTACAATAATAAAAAATGCTTTTAAAAATTTATACTAATAATTTTTTTTTAATTTTCACAAGTGGAATTAATTTATTAAATTTTTTTCATAATTAATCAATTGCCATGAAATTATAAAATAATTTTTAATGTTTGTCAACTCTTCAGTATGATAAAAAAAATGAAAATTCAGTCAGCTGACAAAAATATTTAGTATTATTTTTTTTAATGAAAAAATGGTCAAAAAAAATTTTCATTTGTAAAAAACTTTAAGTGCAATTAAAAAAAAAATATTTTAGAAAAACAATTAAAAAATCAAAGATGTCGGCTAACTTTAGTACATTATTATTAAAAAAAAAAAAAAGTACAACTCTCGAAAGTTAAATTTATATAAATATAAAAATCGATTTTTAATTTAAAAAGCCATAGAAATCTCCACTTACCGACTGGAAGAAATTCAATCATTCCAAGGTCTAGTGATATATGTAACAAAACGAAAAGTATCTATAAATACAAAATAAAAATAAAACAAAGTTATTAATTGAGATTACTCATGTGATACGACTATTAATAAACAATTGTTTCTCAAGAGAGAACCAAGAATATCATAAACAATAAAAACCACATTTTCTAAAATTTTTTTTTCAACATCAGGTAAAGCGTAAATATAATCTAGGGTTAAAATCCAAGCCGACACTTACGTCACCAATGGCAAAACTCGTAGAAGTACTTTTTTCTGGATATATATCATAACAACTCTTACACATCTCCAGTATGACAACAATCTGTGAATAAGTATGACGGAATGAAGAGTTGCTCTTCGCTATATAACATGTAGTGTCTATATTTATATATATATATATATATATATTTAAATTTATACGTACTTATAATTAATACTTGAAAATTTAATGTTTATTACAGTGATAAATAATAACTTTACTTACAATAACAATATTTCAGCACTAGTGACAACAATTAAAAACACAAACAAAATGTCTAAATTAATAAAATTTAATTATTTAGATGTGGGTAGTTTAACAACAGTGATGACTATTAGAACTAAATATCTAATAAATAGTGACAATGAATTGTGATCCTGGTATTTATTTGTATATTTATAATACCAGCAAGTGCATTTATTTTTTTTTTATTTTTTTTTTAAATTTTATTTCTGAAGAAAAAAAAATCATTGGATTTTATGTTAAAAAAAAGGATTTGTAAAACTGCACTGATAATTATCAATTGAAAAATAAAAAAAAAAAAAAAGTGTAAATTAATTGGAATGGCAGCAGCCCAAAAAAAAAATCAATCACGTAGACGTCTTGCAGCAATAACATTTCTATCAAATATTTCATTAGATGGAAGTCATCGAGATACTAATTTTTCATTACTACCTCACAACGGAGCTATACACCGTCGTGAAATTCACATAAATAATATTATTAACACCAGTAATAATTATTCCAATGGTAACACTAATGGTGATGCCAATGTTAATGAAATATTAAAATACAATGACACATTGGTAGTAACAGATACATCTGGTGATGATATTGTTGACATCGTGCCAGGATATATTTCAGAAATTAAACACAATGATTCTGGTGAATTGCCACACAGAACAATTAATGACCATAATTCTATTAGTTCTGATTCTGATGGAATTTTCACTTCTGCTAAAAATACAATCTCTGCTTTGCTTGATCAAGAGCGGATTCAACCATTGCTCTCATCAATACCCGGCTCTTTCCGTGAAAGGTTATTTTTATTATTTTATTTCTGTTACATAATCAAAATCATTTTTATTTTGTTAATTTTTTTTATTTTAATCAACAGAGCTGGAACGGCAGGTAGTGAATACTCACTTCCAGAAAGACGCGTGGGCTCGCTGTACCACAAAAAGCGTATAGTCCATCAAACATCTACGCTGTCTGAAGACATAAAACACCATTACAACAGTAGCACTGAAAGCATTGGCTCCCAGAGATCTAAGTCGATTTCTTCGAAAAATAAAGGAAAAGCTATCGGCAATGTTCAAGCTTGTGTCACTTCCAATGCTGTTATTATTCCTGAAGTAACACGGGAATTACGGATCATGCAACGTCCGACAACTGGTCACAAGTTTGGAGACGATCGACTTGTCTTGGTGTCTACCAAGAAAGTTCCTTTTCTTGTTTTCTCAGCTTTGCCTTACAATAAAAATCAACGGACCAGTTGGTTAGTATTCATTTTTATTTATTATTATTTTTAGATTTATTTATTTGAATTATTTTCATTTTTAAGGTAAAAGACCCAATTATTGACACTTGCAATTTTACTCTAATTAGAAAAATATAATTATTATGAGTTGTTGTGTCCATGATTTAATATAATAAATAAGATATCAGGGAAGTGGACAATTAATGATGTAAATCATTGTACCAATTATTAATTCAGCCATAAAATAAATTGTTCTCAAAAAATCAATTATCTTAAGGGGGAAGTCCATGTAAAAGCCTCAAAATCGTTCATTTTTTTTTAAATATTTTTTTTTTAAACTTTAACACAATTTTATTGAACCTCTAGAGTGCAAAAGTAATTTTTTTTTTCCTTTCAAAATGGTCGCTCAGGATAACTTTTTGTTTGCTGCCAAAAAAAGTATAAAATTCAATATAAATCCTTTGAAAAAAAGTCAGAATTTGGGGCTATTTTTTACCTCAAAAAAGTATTTTATCAACGCAAAATATCTGATATTTTAAGTTTATCCTTCTGGTAGTAATATAAAGAAAGGCCTTACCAAATTTCAAACAAATCGATCAATAAATTTTTGAGTTACAACATGAGCAGTTTTTAAAAATACAGTTTCGAGATAATCGCGTTTAAAGTTATAGTACGCATTACAATACGCATTCTAGCCGATCCATTATAATAGCTATTACTTCGTCAATATTTGAAATTTTATTTTTTCTTCTCGTTAGTACATGCTCAACATACTATATTTTCAAATTATTGAAAATAAAAAAAAATTGATTTTTTGAAAATTTTACATGGACTTTCCCCCTTAAAATTTATAATTCAAAAATTATATTTATTAATTTATTAGTTGATTTGTTTTTTTTTTTTAATTAAAATAAAATTTCAAGTGTCAATAACTGGGTCTCTTACCTTAGTTTATAAAATAAGCGTTAATATTCTTGGGATAAATATTTTTATGATTAAATATCTTTGTGATAGAATAACTGGAAAAATAATAATAATGACGTATAACGTCTGATTATTTTATAAATATTTTTATTATTATTATGTTTTATATATATAACTTTTCCGGTTTTTTTTCTTTTTAAGATATAAATATTAGATAGGTAATTACTAAAAAAATTTTTTTTACTTGTGAAAAAAAATTAAAATTTTTTTATAATATCGTATGATTTAAATTATTATTTAAAGCAGTTGAAATATTTATAATTAAAATTAAATGTTTTGATTAATGAACAACAAGAAATTAATTAATAAAAAAAAATATATTTATTATAATAATAATTAAAAAGTAAAATTTCCTAATAATATTATCGCAAAAATAAATTATTTTTTTCATTAATAATTCACTTTTCCACTAGATAGGTCCATCAAGTATCACGTGAATTAACACCGATTATTTATTATTTATTTGATAATTTATTTAACTAATTTAGGATTATTTTTTAATAAGTTAAATTGATGATTATTATTTTTAATTAGCTGTTCAAGTGTTACGAGTATACCTGGGTTCATAAACATCAGTGTTTCTAATCGAATTCTACGCAGGTATCTCGATGGATATTATTAGATAGAGTCGTGTACTCATTCCGCCACACTTATTAAATTTTTATATATTTAATATAAGCTTTTATTGCAATTTTAGCACGATTTATTAAATTATTTTTTTTTTTTAATATTTTTATTTAGTTACATATTATCAATTATTGATTATTGATAAATTTAATTACGATAGATGTTTTAAGCAGTTATCTTAATGTAAATATATATAAGATTATGATGTTATTTATTTGTATTTGTTGTTATTTATATTTTAGGTCTGAACTACGTAGAGATACTGGTCGTAGACGAAATACATCGGGTCCAAGGCCGCTTTCGGCTATTAATGATAATTTAGATCCATTTGGTTTATTGGGAATTGAACGCGCTAAAGATGGACAGGTAAATTATTATGTTTATTTATTATGCTTCAAGCTTGCTGTATAAAACATTTAAAGAATTTTGTATTTTATAATCATGATCATTTTTTTTTTTTTTTTTTAAGTAATTTAATACCGCTTCTAATTTATCATGAAATATAAACTTGATCTTTTTTTCTGCTTAAAATGCTTATTAATTTGATAGTTATATGTATAATAATTTTGTTTTGCATTCTTAAAACTATTTTGTAAAGTTATCGCTGGCTTCCTGTTATATATTTACTATTTAAATTATTATCTATACTATTAAGAAAGTAAGCAAAATTTTGTGGTCAGTGTGTTTATTGATAAAATGGGTTTTTATGGTTTAATTTGGTATCGTTGGAAAGATCTTAACTTGAATAGTCAATTTGTGATGATAAGTATTTAGGCTGCATTAGAAAATGCTCTATCTCTAGATACATAATTAAGAAACGACCTTGTATCTTGTGAACTATTGATATTTTTAAAGATATAAGCTCATTCCGATGTTACACTCACCAAGACCTTTCATTTGAATACCCACATTAATTTTTCATATATTTATATATATTATATATATGTATATATGAAAAATATATCAAAATGCATGTGGGTACTCAAATGAAAGCTCTTGATGATTGTAACATCGGGAGGAGCTCATATCTTCAAAAATGTCAATAGTTAGAAAAGATTATATCTTTAAAATTATCAATAATGAAGAAATGACCTTGTATCTCGTGAACTATTGACATTTTTAAAGATATAAGCTCATCCCGATGTTACACTCATCAAGACCTTTCATTTGAGTACCCACATCAATTTTTCATATATTTTATATATTTATATATATTATATGTATGTATATATGAAAAATATATCAAAAATGCATGTGGATACTCAAATGAAAGCTCTTGATGAGTGTAACATCGGGAGGAGCTCATATCTTCAAAAATGTCAATAGTTAGAAAAGTATTATTTAATTTTTTAACAAAGTATGGATAAAAAATAACATGAATTGTTGGAAACAGTTGTTGAATAATTGATTAAATTTTTTTTACATTTAAGATTTATCAATGGCAATAAAATTTAATCTAAAGAAAAATAATGAATGCATGCATTTTTTGATAATAAGTAATTCAAACAAGTTAGCGCTTAAACAATAGATAAAAGAATTCATTATGGAGAGTAGTTCTCTATAAACTAAGTCGTTTGTTTTTCATTAAAATTTTTATGTTTTGTTGACAAGATAAAATTCAATTATTGCGCAACAGGGACTTATTTACGGAAAAAAATTATTTAATCAATTGATTTTTTTTTTTTCATTAAACAAAATTTTTTTTTTATCATTCTTACAATTTTATAGAGGATGAAATCTCTTATGAAAAACAATATAAAGTTTACGTCGGAGGAATTTTATTTCCAAAGCTTAAATTAATATTTTTTTTGAAACTGATAAAATCAACTGCTAAAATTTTTTTATTCTTATTACTTTGTTGCGTAACAAAAGTGAATGATTACAGAGAATTGCATGGCCTCAAAAAAAAATCTTATGAAACAAATTGAATAAATAAACATTTTAAATGTTTTTTCAAAATTTTATTTTCAAATTAATAATTCAAGTTTTTAATTTTTCATTTAATAAGATCAGAAAATATTAACATTAAAAATTAAAAAAAAAATTTTTTTAATTTTAATTTCACTAAATTAGTTTTTTAGAGTTAATAAAATTATAAGCATGTAAATAAATTGAATTTTGCAAAAAAAAAAAAAAAAAATAAAAAGATCTATTCACTTACAAGTTTTAATTTTATAATAATTTATAATTTTTATTCACTAAAATTATTTTTAATTAGCCAGTATCTATATCACAATTTTTTATACTGTTGCAGATTTTACTGTGCTTATTTGTTATAAAAATATTACTCACTGATAAGATTAAAAATGTCTCGTTTATTTTATTAAATAAAATATATTTACATTATAATTAACAGTAATAAATAAATACAATAATTTTTTTGTTTCTCAAAAAAAATAGGAAATGTCTTATGGTCAATTATTGGTGCCGTCACGACAATTTCAACGTGAGAGAAAAATTCACACAAATGATAGCGAGGGTATTGAACTCAATCATATTGCTCCAAAGCAACACAATAATGTTTCAAGGTATGTAAATATATAAATTTATTTATCATATCATTTTGCTTGCCAAGCATTAAAAAAAAATATATATATTTAGTCATAAATATAAACTAATAAATTTCAAATAAAAATTTTATAAAAAAAAAAAATTATAATTTATTTTACTAACAATTAAAATAGCTTTATTAATGAGGATTTGATTAATTGCATTACAATTTTTTCTAATAATATCAATCACACTTTCCAGGACAAAAACAATTGCTTGGAATAAGGACCATACTAAATGGTAACCCATGTATATTTTTTAATTTTATTTTACAGTAGTTATAATAATAATAATAATAATTGCAATCATTGTTTTTATTATAATAATAATAATAATTATTATTATTATTATTATTATTATTATTATATCAAAACTGTGGTAGAGAATGATTGATCACACGAAAAATTTGTTTTGCATGAAATCGAGTTAAAATAATAAATTTTAATATTTATTATTAGCTTAAATAATTATTAATTTATATAATAATTAATTTTATTAATGCTTTAATATTTATTTTATTAAATAAAAAAATAAATCAACAATACGTATTATAGATAACGTGAAATATTGTTATTGTATTATATTATTATTAAATATTTTTTTTTATCTGTTTCAGGTGTCTGTCTTACGATACTACTTCGCACCGAGGGCAACCCGTGACATCTGATTCTCCACCGTTATCGCTTACTAATGACAGTAAAAGTATGGAAATATTTTAATATTGTTATTATTAATTTAAATATAAAATATGAAAGTATTATTTAAATTTTTAGTCTTATTTATAATTAAGTTATTTATTCAGATTACGATTGGGATGAACATGGAATCATGCAGTACAATCCAAATTTATTAGATGATCCCGAATTAATTGCTGGGAAACACCGTACTCTTCTTACATTTACTTCTTACATGGTAATTTAATATTTATAAAAATTTTATTATTAATTTTTAAAATATTTATTTTTAATCAAATTATTATTTTTAGGCATCGGTTATTGATTATGTACGCCCGTCTGATTTGAAAAAGGAACTTAATGATAAATTTAAGGAGAAATTTCCACATATTCAATTAACCCTCAGTAAATTACGCAGGTTTGTTATTAAAGTTTATTATTTATTATTATTGTTTTATAATTTATTACGTAATGCGCATTTATTGATATTTACTTTTGAGAAAGTTAATTTAATTTAATTCAGAGTTATTGAGTTGCGGAAGAAAATTAGGCTAAACACTTACGTAAAATTAATCTTACTTGAATAATCAATTAAACATAATTATCTATAAAATTGATAAATAAAATATACGTGAAAAAATAATTAAATTATTTAAAAATTCTAATCATAGTTTGGAAAAATTAATAAGCAATTAAATTTAGAGAAAATTTTTTTTTTTAAGATTCTTGTAATTTATTTTAAAAAATATAAACTTAGAGAGTAATAAAACTGCTGTTAAATTATAATAAGTTTTATTTGCACTACACTTAGTAATATCTAAAATTTTACTGAGTATAATCCAGATAGAATTCAGTAAAATCCAGAAAAATTCAGATCTGAAATTTTTTTATCTTAGATGTTACTGAATATAACTATGTATTTTTTTTCCACTTTGTTCAACCAAAACTTTTTGTATTTTTTATAGTTTGAACTCTCGTTGATAATTAATTTTTTAATTTCTAAAAATAATAGTATTTTAATAATATAATTGCGGCTTTAAAAGCACAATTACTTTATACTATTAACATAATTTGTTAGATTTTTTTTTATCCTACAATACAAAAGCAATTGTCACATAAAGTTATTTAAAAATGAAAAATAACTAGTAATTAAAATTTAAATAATAAAAAAAACATTTTTTTTTTCACTAAATTTCTTTCGAAAGGTTTTTGTAAATTAGAGTTTAAAAAAAAAATTACATACAGTCAGACAAAATATCGATTTTTAAAAAAAATTTTTTTTTAAATGAAAAATTATTCTAAAAATAAAAAAAAATCATTGAACTTTTGCAAATTGCTTTTTTTGTAAAAGAAATTATTTTAAAGTGTCAATATTATTTTTTATGTTAATTAAAATTATTAATGGGCACATTGACTCTCTAAAGATTCTAGAGCAATTAGGAATCATCTGTCCTAGGTCAAACTTAAGAGCAAATCGATTAATAGATACAATTAAAAATACCAAGAGTTATATACATAATCGACTGCTTTTAACCCATCACCACTAGTCGCTTGAAAAGTGCAATTTTATTTCGTCTTGTAATAATTACTCTCAGAGACATTTCTCTATAATACTAATAATTTAAACTTTCTAAAGTAAATGAAATTGATTTAATTTAAATTTAATTCTAATTAAATTCTAACAAAATGTTGATGTTTTTTTTTTTTTTTTTTTTATTTTCTTTTTTCACCTAAAGTGAAATTTAATTGATATCAACCTAATGTATAAAGCTGATTAGCGTTTGAATAAATAAATAAAATATTTTTTTGTTCTAGTTTGAAGCGTGAAATGCGAAAAATAGCAAAACTAGAGTATGGAATAGACCTATTGACAGTTGCAATGGCATATGTGTACTTTGAAAAGCTTATACTACGTAATGTTGTTACGAAACAAACTCGTAAATTATGTGCCGGAGCTTGTTTACTATTAGCAGCGAAGCTCAATGACGTAAAGGGTGAAGTGCTTAAATCACTTATTGAGGTAATTTTATAAATTAAATATACGTATTCCATTATCAAATAATCCAATATCTTCTTATCTGATAATAATAAAATAAAATTAATAATTACAGAGAACTGAGAGTGTATTCCGCTTAAACCGTAAGGATCTTATTGCATCGGAATTTGCTGTGCTGGTCGCACTTGAATTTGGACTACATTTACCAACGTGGGAAATTTTTCCTCACTATCAACGATTAATCTATGAATCTTGACCTCTTTTACTTATTCATTCGATAAAATTTAAAATTTATTTGTCTGGAAAATAGTACACAAATACTTCGTCCAACCTTTATTCTCTTCTGGCTTAAATTATTTATAAATTAACACAAGCGTAAGCAATAATGTACCTTAAATATACTCAATTAATTATTTTTGACGTGCTTTCATAGATTTATAAAGAGTTTTTAGTCAAAAACAATATTATTATCTGGCTAAAAAAAATTTATTACACGGAAAAAAAAAAAAAAAAAAATTAAGTGTTTGATATTAATAATGGTGGGAAAAATGTTTAATTACTTTTTAACTTTTTAGGGTTTTATAAACGCATATTAAATATTAAAAAATCATAAAATGCCATTTATATATTTGTCTATCAATTTAATATTAGAGTAATAATTATTCGAGTCCAATTATTAGAAATTTTATTTTTTTACTTAAAAAAAAAAAAAATTTAATTTGCTGTTGATAATCAATTTTTAGTACTTATTATTATTAATTATTTATTTTAAAATTATAGGTGTAAAAAAATTATTAAAATTTAATTATTTACTTAATTATTTATAATTGGACTTAAATCATTGTAAAATCTGTCATAAAATCATTTTCATAAAAAAAAAAATAATAAATAAATAAAGAAAGAAAATATTTTTAAATTAAAAATTTTTTAATTATAAATAACGACAAAAAATATCTATTAGAATTAATAAATTAAATTGTTATGTAATTATTTTTAAATTGTTAATGTAAATTTATTTTATTGTATATTTTTTATTTTTACGACGTACTATTTTTTTTTTTTTTTTTTTTTTTTAGTACAGCTAATTATCATTTTTTTTTTTTCCGCGTTCTTTTTTTTTTTTTTTTTTTTTTTTTTAGTACAGCTAATTATCAATTTGCTCAATTATTTTATTTTGTTTACTTGATTTATTATTATTATTATTATGTTACGCTGTAAAATATGTTAAAATGTATGTATATGTATATATAAGTTTTTTCTGTAAAAAATCATAAGAAATTAAATTGTATAGAGTGATAAGCAATTAATTTTTATAATTAGAGCAATGATTATTTGTCAGTTAATTTTATAATTACTTTTTCAGTAAAATTAAAAATATTTTTCCACTCAATAGAACAGAATTATTATAGTTATGTGAATAGTTTTGTCTTTAAAAAAATTCAATTCAATATTTATGAAATCAAATATTCAAAAAATAATAAAACAATCAGTTGTATAAAATAATTAATTAATCAATTAATATATTAAGTAATGTATCAATTCTAGTCGGATGTTGTCGTTTGTATAATGAATTATGGAGCAGTAGAATATTGTGATTCTTTATTAATTCTTTATTATATTATCTATCTATATATATTCTATGAAATTTACACGTTATACTACCAGACAATTATACAAGAGTACTTGAATCATGTATATTATAATATCCTCATCAATAAAATGAGTACAAAAAAATTAATATGTTTATTTTTTTATATTGTTTAATAATTGCAGTTATTAAAAAAATTTTAAATGCAATTTTTTTTAACAAATTTTTTTATTGAAAAAAAAATATCAAGTGACTGCTAATTTTAATGTCATTAATCAAGGAAAATTAATTTAGCAAATATTTGATTTTTAGAATTTATTTTTAAGCATATTACGGCAAAAAAAAAAAAATTGATATGTAGAAATTTTATAAAATTAAAAATGCAATTTTTTTTTTAACAAATTTGTTTATTAAAAAAAAATTAAAAAATGGTCAAGTATTTTTTTTCCATTTTTTAATAATAATAATTAATTGTTAGCAATAAAAATATTCCATAAATTATGCTTATTTTTAAAAAAATATTATAATTTTATTTTTATCTACATTCATTATTTTACCTCATTATAATATATCTTATGTTTGCGGTTCGAGGTTCCGGTGATACACTGGCTACTCCATATTTACTCAAACAATATAATTGTACTTAGTGAATTCAGTTATTTTGCAGTGAAAGCTCGGTTAGTTTTTCATTTTCATCTCTGTAATTTAATTCTATGCATAAAAATATTAATTCTCCTCTTAATATTCTTAGTATACTATTACTCAGCCATTAATTTAAATATTTATACTTAACTCAATTTATCATCCTGAAATAATAAAGAATTATAAATTCTTCTTTCTTCCCAAATGTCAAAATAACACTAAAATTTTTGGAATATTATCAGAAATAAGCTTAGTTAAAAAAAATTTTTTTTCTTAATTAAGAAAAAAGTATTTTAAGTCAAAATATTTTAATAGACCAAAAAAAAAAGGTAATTATGAAGAAATTTTCCATTTTTTTTTCTTAAGTCTAAAAAAAGCTACCAAGATAATTTTGAATATTTGTTTATTCCTTCTTTAAAAAGTACATTTGAAAAAAATTTTTAATTAGAAAAAAAAAAATCCCCGATTCAATTTTTTAAAAAGTTATAGTTCATAAAAAAAATCATTTTATTGAAGAATTTTCAACCTTTTTTTTCTTTTTGGTTTTGTGCAAAAAAAAAAAAAATTCTAATAAAAATTTTTAATGGGACAAAAAAATTACATCAAATTACAGCCTCCCATAATTATGTCCTAAAAATAACTGCATAAGTTATCTTTCCAAAAATTCCCAAAAATGATTTTTAAATAAATATTTAAAATAATTTTTTTAACCTTGCAGTTTTTTCACGAACGTAAAAAGTCTTACCGGAATAAATTACTCAATAACATGACAAAATTGGCATGCATTAAAGAGTAATCCATCTGACATTGATAAAAAACATGCGGATCAATTCGGTCAGGGTCACCCAAGATTATTTCGACAGTAAAACTGCTCAATGAAAGGCTTCTGGCCGCCTAGTGCTTCCTTGAGCAATATAAAGACAACATCATATAAATTATAATCCATTCCCTTCGTCATTATCATCCACACCCTCGTTTTCATTTTCATCACTTTCAAAAAAATCATAAGTAAGTGAGTGTTGCAATTTACAATATAAAGATGATGATGATAACTGAAGACGTAGTTTCCTTCCAAAAAGGTTTGATGGACTGGCTGACGGAAGAAAGTGAATATTTGATGCAGCGTCTGGACCGCTGGACAACTATCGCACGTGGGTACAACCGTTTGTATCCTCAGAGATTATCCCGGGGGTGTATGACGATGCAGAAGGAGCCAGATGAAGAGTCATGGCGGCACTCTCCGAGCTTTAAGATTCTTACATCGTCTTCTTCAAGACGAATCACGCGGCCAGCCGACGATGAGATAAGGAAAATCAATTGTTGTGGGACTTTTAACTACCAGTCCAACAGCCGCGTTGACAATTCCTGTCTAGAAGCGTATCGGTATGACCACAGTATCTATTTTAAGACAATTGGGGACATTAAGAGCAGCAAGACTCTCAAAGAAACTCAAATTAATGAAGAACAAGTGCAGGAAGAAATATCTGATTTTGAAGAAAATTCAGATCCTTCCGACGCAATGGACAAGCCTGGGAATATTTGTGACTGTCCGAGTCCAATGGACGAAGAAATGTCTGAAGAAATAACTTGGTTCGATAAAAACTCCAGTGAAGCTATCACTCGGGAGTTTACTAAAAGTTGTTCCATTGCGCAAATTGATGATCTAAATGATTGTATTAATAATAATGATACTCGGTGGAACAATTTTAATGGATCGAGCTTTCAAAATTTGGAAATAGAAAGTCAGGTTAATTCTGTGGAGAGTGAGAGTCTGGATAATGAAGCTAACGTTGTTCCGAATTGGAGGAAATCCAGTCGGAGGATGAAAGCTAAGCCGAAAGTACTTGGGAATAATAATGTTTCCTGGAATAATGTGCTGTTTAGTTACAACGTCGATGCAAATTTAGCTTCTTCGCATCATTGTGTTTTGAATGTTAAATGAAAATGTTAAATTTTTGTTAGTGGGAAATTTAATGGTTTTGAGAGGTAAGTTTTAGATTTTTAATTATTATTTTATATAAGGTAAAAGACTCATTAGTGGCACCTCTAAGCCCTATTAGTAGCACTTTTTCTTTCAATTAAAAAACACGGAAAAAAGAAAAATAGAGAAATTACATTATAATGTAACGTAGTACTCTGTGATGAAAACTGAAAAAATTTTCAGATTGTAATTATTACAGATTTTGTAAGAATTACATTGTAGAATGTAAGTATTACATTGAAAGCTCTGAAAATTAATATTCAAAGTTTAAATTTAAAAAAGTGTTATTTCGAAATGGAATTTTTCTAGTTTTTAATACGACGGGACATTTACTATTATATTGTACTATTCATAATGTAATTTTTCGAGTTTTCTTTTTTCTGAAAATTTTCTACTAGGAATAAAAATTAAAAATTTTTTTTGATCTAAAGATATTAATATATTCATAATAGAAATTAATGATTTCATTGATTGAATAAGTACCAAAATCAAAGTAAGTAGCAGTAATGGAATAACAAGTGCAGGAAGAAATATCTGATTTTGAAGAAAATTCAGATCCTTCCGACGCAATGGACAAGCCTGGGAATATTTGTGACTGTCCGAGTCCAATGGACGAAGAAATGTCTGAAGAAATAACTTGGTTCGATAAAAACTCCAGTGAAGCTATCACTCGGGAGTTTACTAAAAGTTGTTCCATTGCGCAAATTGATGATCTAAATGATTGTATTAATAATAATGATACTCGGTGGAACAATTTTAATGGATCGAGCTTTCAAAATTTGGAAATAGAAAGTCAGGTTAATTCTGTGGAGAGTGAGAGTCTGGATAATGAAGCTAACGTTGTTCCGAATTGGAGGAAATCCAGTCGGAGGATGAAAGCTAAGCCGAAAGTACTTGGGAATAATAATGTTTCCTGGAATAATGTGCTGTTTAGTTACAACGTCGATGCAAATTTAGCTTCTTCGCATCATTGTGTTTTGAATGTTAAATGAAAATGTTAAATTTTTGTTAGTGGGAAATTTAATGGTTTTGAGAGGTAAGTTTTAGATTTTTAATTATTATTTTATATAAGGTAAAAGACTCATTAGTGGCACCTCTAAGCCCTATTAGTAGCACTTTTTCTTTCAATTAAAAAACACGGAAAAAAGAAAAATAGAGAAATTACATTATAATGTAACGTAGTACTCTGTGATGAAAACTGAAAAAATTTTCAGATTGTAATTATTACAGATTTTGTAAGAATTACATTGTAGAATGTAAGTATTACATTGAAAGCTCTGAAAATTAATATTCAAAGTTTAAATTTAAAAAAGTGTTATTTCGAAATGGAATTTTTCTAGTTTTTAATACGACGGGACATTTACTATTATATTGTACTATTCATAATGTAATTTTTCGAGTTTTCTTTTTTCTGAAAATTTTCTACTAGGAATAAAAATTAAAAATTTTTTTTGATCTAAAGATATTAATATATTCATAATAGAAATTAATGATTTCATTGATTGAATAAGTACCAAAATCAAAGTAAGTAGCAGTAATGGAATCCCCGCCATTAATGGGGTCTTTTACCCTAATAATTATTAAAAAATTTGTTTATTTTTAATATTTAATTGTTGAAGCATAATAATTATTTTTTATTGTAGATTGAAGGGTGTGGAAAATTCTGTTCTATGGCAAAACAATCTACAGGCAATAGTAAAGAAGAAATATGGAATATTTGTAAATTTTTTATCGTTTTTAATAAAACAAGGTGGAAGTTAGAAGATAAGTTTAGTTTTTAATTTAATTTAAATTTAAATTTATTGAAAGTATATAATTAAAATTTTCCATTGTATATTTAAAAGAAAAGTTTACTTTTTATCAAAATCATATTTTAGAAATTTACAAAAAAAGCTCTTTTTAAATTTCAATTATTATTTTTATTCTTTAGCTATAAATAATGAAGAATAATTTTTTATGTAATAATTTTATAAATAAAAATATAACTATGTAATAAAAAATTATAAATTATATTATCAATAAAGTAATTTTTAATTAAATAAATGCTTATAAGACCAATAAGAAAGCCGTAATTTTAAAATTAAAATTTTCATAGTTAGCAAAAATTTGAATAATTTATTATGAATCTATATTTTGAAATTACAGCGAAAATATTGATCGTAAAAGAAAATCAGAAGACATTTTTTTTTATAAAATAAAATTTTCTACAATTTTGTTCCAAAACTTTTTTTATAAGACCAATATTTTCGCCGTAATAATAAATATATATTTAAGCCGTTCATTTAGAAAATTAAGGCAAAATTCTTTACCCTAATAATGATAAATGATAGTGAGCATAGGAAAATTGTCGAACTCAAACAAAAAATTGACAGTATCGAGTCAACAATTTCTGGGACCTCGTCAATGTTAGGGGCGTCTCATGATCTATTGAAAGAATTCGATGACAGACTATGCAGGCGTTCTAATCTAATGGTTTATGGTCTTCCTGAGGACGATTCTTCGGGATCTGGAAATGGTAATCTGCATGTCAGGATCACTAATTATTTTTCTGAGCTAGTAAACAAACCAATAGCTAAAACAAAGATTAAATTTAAATGTATCCGGGTGGGTAGATTCTTAATGAATAGTACGACCCCACGTCCGATCAAAATAATTTTTAATGATCCTGACTCGGTTGAAAGTGTATTACAAGCATTTATCAGATCCAAGGTCCAGAAGAAGCTACCAGTATCACTTCAACTTCTAGTAATTGCTCGAGACCAAACGCCGGTGTAGAGGCAGGAATATCTGACCCTGAAAGAAGAGATGAAGCGGCGTATCTCAGCGGGGGAGAAGAATTTGCGGATAGCGACCAGAGGGACTCGACAGATTATTGTTCAGCATGCCCGAACTTAGGTTCTGGGCCTGAACAATAATCATTAACTATTCTTGAGAATATTTTCTACTAGTGATCTATTCAGTGTATTATTTGAGAGTTTGAGTGATATTAGCTGTAAAATAATTAAAACCGGTGATTTCAATACTTATATGTTTATCAGGCACCAGGCTCGTATATTGTATGATGCAAGATTTGCGCTCCTAAATGACTTTTATAATTTTATTTTGCTTTATTATAATTATAATTATAATTTTGCTTTAATTTGAACAAAACAATCTTGTTACTAATTATCAAATAATTGTTTAAACCTGGTGCTGTCAAACTAATAACTTAATGGCTGTATAACAGCATCATTTGGCAAATTATCAACTTAATGGTGTTAATTATGTGCAATTGCTACAACTTTTATAATAATAATAATAATAATAATAATAATAATTAATATTAAATAATTATTGTTATTCATAGTATTAATATTATTTTTTTCTTTTTAATTTTATCAATCACTATTATTTTTTGTTTTTGTTTGCAATTGCTAACACATCAATGCTCTACTCATTTAGCAATCTACCTATTGAATTTATAATTAATATTAATTTTTATAATACATATAGATATATTAAGTACCTCTATAATTAATATTAATATTAATATTCTATTAAATATGAAATCACTATGCTATAGCTGTAAGTCATCTTGCTATACATCAAAAATGGTTTTTTTTATATACTAACTGTTGTATTATTAACCCTGTTAATGGCCCTTTGGCTGTTGGGTTTGTTTATTTAAATAAAATAAAATAAAATCTAGCTTCTAAATATAAATAAATATACAAAAAAATATAAAAATATATATATACAAAATGAACAAAACGCATGCGTGATATGAAGAAGCCACGCAGGCAGCTGAACTTTCGTGCAAATCGATTGTTCATAAAAGCATTAAAGCACAGAGTACACAGCACACTTTATACAGTGAGTCAGTACGGGAGTAAAAAAATTCAAGTTTATTAAATTTGAAGGCCTCATTTCGTCAATTTAGACTAAATTGTTTGTTAGTTAAATAAGTTTATTAAATCAAACAACGATGGGTAAGAGATTTGAAACAATTGCTGCAACAGCTTGTATGACAACTCTTTTGATGCTGTTCAATTTTGTTTTTTGGGTGAGTTTTTGTTTTATTATTAAGTTTATAAGTACATTTACACTAAAGTTAGCCGACGTTTTTCATTTATTAAATTAGAACTAAAAAAATATTTAAAAAAAATTGCACTTATAAATTTTTTACAAATTAAAATTTTTTTTTAATAAAAAAAAATTATAAAAATTTTTAGATGTCGGCTAACTTAATTTTAATTTATACTTCTCGCATTATTAACAAAAATAAATTAATTTTTTTATTATAATCAATAAGGTCGAATTTCTATCAAATAAGATTGATAATTTTCAATTTTGATAATAAATTTGTGTTATTTAATAATAAATAATAAAAAAATTTATTAAACACAGTGCACGGGAATCGCGATGCTATGTGTCGGAATATTAATGCGGATACAACTTCGTGATTATGTTGACATGAGTGTTGAAGGAAGTGGTGCAGCCTTACTTGGCCTGGCTTGTTTGGGAGGTCTGGTAGTTCTTGCTGCAACTCTTGCCTGTTGCTGTACCGCACGCGGACATCCGGCTTTGTTGTATCTGGTAAGTTTATCGCTTTTGTTATACTTGCGGTAATTATAATAATTTTTTAGGATTTATTAATGTTCATTGTTTGGTACAAATTTAGAACGTTAATTAAAAAGAACTTTTGGATAATATGTTAAATAAAGAGACTAGATATGCTTCATAATTTATTTAAGTAAAATTTGATAAAAAATATTTAGATTTATTAAAAAAAAAATATAATGGAATTTTATTTTCAATGATAGTTTTTTTTTTTTATTAATAATTGTTTAAACAATTAATTTACTAGCATGAAAAATTTATTAATTATCGACGGCATGTAGAAAAATGTAATTTTTATAAAATAATTTTTTAAAATAATTTTTTATGTAAATTTTACATTTTAATTTTCATTTAGTTCTTAGAAATATTTTAATTGCTTTAATGTAACCTATAGTACTTTAAATTAGTTTCAGTTTGGATGTATTGACACGTAAATTTGTTTTGTTTGTACTGCACATTATTTTCCACTTTGAATACAGCAGTGATGCTGAAATTTTAATTATCCCAAGTTACAATTATAAATAAACTAGCAACCTTTCAGTAACTATGTGACTGCCGTGACTTATGAACTATAAATAAAACAAATTTTGCTTTATTAAATAATGACTTTTGTTAAATTGCACTGTATTTTTTTAGCTATTGACGTTTTTATAGATATAAGCTCATCCTGATGTTATACTCATCAAGACCTTTCGTTTGAGTGCCCACATGCATTTTTGATATATTTTTCATACATATATATATATATATATATAAATATGAAAAATTGATGTGGTTACTCAAATGAAAGGTCTTGATGAGTGTAACACCGGGATTAGCTTATATCTTTAAAAATGTCAATAGTTCACAAGGTCATTTCTTAATTATGTTAAATTGCACTGTACTTTCTTAAATATTTACATTTTTAAAGATATAAGGTCATCCTGATGTTACACTCATGAAGAGCTTTCATTTGAGTACCCACATGCATTTTGATATATTTTTCATATATACATATATATAATATATATAAATATATGAAAAATTAATGTGGGTATTCAAATGAAAGGTCTTGGTGAGTGTAACATCGGAATGAGCTTATATCTTTAAAAATATCAATAGTTCACAAGATACAAGGTCGTTTCTTAATTATGTATCTAGAGATAGAGCATTTTCTAATACAGCCTAAATACTTATCATCACAAATTGACTATTGGTGAGAATGATATAAAACCTTGAAAAGATACAATTTTAGGTCAGACTTTTCCAACGATACCAAATTTAACCATAAAAACTCATTTTATCATATAAAAATACTGGCCGCGTAATTAAAAATATTATTTTTTAAATTAATCATTATAGTTTTTCAATTTTTCAAAAATTTTTTTTTACAATTGATTATAATAAAGTCATAACAGTTTTATGGAAATTTTATATTAGAATTGAAATAATTTAATTTAAAAATTTCTTTTATTTTTTTTTCCATTCACTGAAAAGCTGACTTTTTAACAGAAAATTACTGCTAGTTGTTAATGCGAAATTATTTTTGATTTTATTAGACATTGGATTTAGTAGTAAAGGCCCATACATGTTTTTGAAACTGTATTTAATTGATAATCTAATAATTTTAAATACTAGTCACGACGTTTGTTTTTAATTTCTTATCAAAACAGTATGGTGGATTCCTAGCGGTCGTGGCATTATTGGAACTAGGTGCGGGTGCATCTGTTTATGCTTATCGAACCACACTAACTGAGGGCTTTGATCAAGGATTAAATGACAGCATGGCACTTTATGGAATCGATAAAGCTAAAAGCGCTCATATTGATGTCATGCAATCAACGGTAAGCTTCATTTAATTATTGTAATTGAATCAAAATTTGAAATAAACCCAGCTTAAATAATTTCAACTGAACTATATGTGTAATTGTAAAGGGAATAATTAATAGAACATGTCATTACTTATTTGATTAGTTTACATTTCACACACTCACACACATATGGAAATAAATTACGATATTAATTTAATATTTGGTCTAGACGTTTGATACTGTTATTTTTATAATTCCATATTGCGTGTCAAATGCCAAAAAGGCGTATCCCAATCTATAAATACGGTAAAATGCGTACGTAGAAATTTTTTTAATTAAAATTAATTTAATGATCATTTTGAATTTTTTTTATAATTTAAATACTTGTCAAAATTTGGACTTTTCTCATATTCACAATTTTTTTAAACTTGAATTTTTTTTTATAATTGGTCTATCCAGATCATCTATTTAATTATTTAAAATTAATTAGTAAATATCAGTGATTATTATTTTAAAAAAAGAAATTGATTAGTTAAAACATTATTTAAGACATTACCACAAACAAAATTCAACGATATTTATATTTAATTGCTTAAAAAAAATGAAATCATAACTTTGTCTCTTATAGCGTCAATAATTGGGGCTTTTACCGTAATTACAAAAAGAAATTTTTTTTTTTTTTGGATCAAACTGAAGCTTTTATTGTTATAAATACGATAAAATGCGTACTTAAAAAACTTAAAGTTAAAATGATCATAAGAATTTTTCTCATAATTTAAATACTTGTCAAAATTTGAATTTTTCTCATATTGACAATTTAATTTTTTTTATTCGCTGGGTGCGTGACCCCACCGCCACCTAACAATACAACTTACGGTGGCTTTTTTAAGAAAATTTACATGTATTAGATGCCAAATAGTTATTTAAACAATTAAATAAACTTGAAAAAAATTTTTTTCTATGTAAAATGTGACATATTATACAGAATGTAGATTGAATTAAAAAATTTTTTCTCCCCATCTGAAATTATATAAAAAATAACTAGTAGCTATTTAACATAATTATATATTTACGAATGTATCTTAAATTTTTATTTTCTTTATTTAATTTTGCAATTTATTACCCATAATATTATTTTTTAACCACAAACTTTACTAAAGGATAAAAATTTAGTCCTGGCTGAACATATGAGAAATGTTGAGCAGCAGCTATCCATTTTTTTCGCTGATTTAATTTTTAATTGGCAACCGGAAACTTATAAAATTTACAATTACTATTTCTACTAGTATTTTTACAATCAACTACACAACAATTTTGATGACCCATTATATTTTATTTATTTAATTAAACTAACACACGTGTTATTTTCATAGCTTATAGTAATAAAGAGCCACCCTTAGTTCTGTATTGTCCCCAGCGGACGCTGACATCAGTTTTGTGTCCCCCACTATGCCTTACGCACCCAGCGAATACTGAAAAAAATTAAATTGAAATAAATAAAAATAAAACCATAAATTATTTTGTCTATTATATCCTCGGCTGCCCAATTTTAAAACACAGTACTTAACTGCAAAATTTTTATATCTGATTTTTTTTTTAGTATTGCTGCATTTTTTATAACTTTTAGACCTTCATTTCAAGTATTTGTTCTTAGAAATATTTATATTCAAGTATTTTCTATTCATAAATCAAATTTTTCATCAATTTGGCGGGTAAAATTTTTTTTAATAAAAAAAAATTGGAAAAAATTTTGAAATGTTAGTTACTGTGTTTTGAAATTGGGCAGCCGTCCTGATTTTGGTTCTTAGAAAAAAAAAAATTTTTTTTTTTTATTATTAATAAAATGAAACTTTTATTGTTGTCTTCAGTCCGAAAATTTCAGTGATCTTAATGTAGATTATTTATAAAATAACGAAAAAATATTTCGGATGTTTCTAAACGTAAAGATTTATTAAGGAGATGATTTGCAGAATCAAACTGATCTTAATGAAATAAATGACAAAGAAGTGATACGGTAAAAAGTTTGTTATTTGGTAACTAAGTTAGACAGTTCACGACAAACTAAAAATTTTTTTTCTATCTAGGATTAATTACTTTTACCGTCCATTATTTGTACTTTCGTAATGACTTACGACGACATACCATTCTTAAGAACATAAAAACATATTTTTATGTTATTAATTGAATTAAATATCTTTTTCTTTTTCAATAACATTATTTGGAGTACAATTTTATTAATAATAAAATTTTATCTTTTTTTTTTTCATTTCAATATTTTTCATGATTTATAGTATAGAATATTTTTTTTTTAATAATATTAGATGATGTATATTTTTTAATAAGGACTTTTTTGCTCCCATAAATTTATCCTTACACGTTAATAATTTACAGAGATACTTGAGTGCTTGTTACGATCGTTATTTTACTCCGGTGACGTCTTTACTTTACACGTACGTTATAACATATGGGAAGCGAAAAATATACAAATTAAACAAATTCATTATTTTTGAATAAAAAAAAATCTCATGAAATTTTATCAAAAATTTTTAAGCAATTTCTCCAGAATTTTATCTTAAAAAAATAATTATTAAAGTCTCTGAATATTTTAATTTTCTGTTCAAAAACTTTAATAAATTTTCTGCCTTTAAATATTTTTACTCAAGGAAAAATAACTAATTAATGTCTTTTAGAATTAATTTTATTCATCAAATTAATTACTTTTCAATGTTTATAAATAGATTTTTTTTATTTATTTCCAATTTAATAAATTTCAATAAAGGCATTAAACTAATACCGGAAGCACTCAATATCAATATATAAACGTCTACCCACAAAGTAAATTCATAACGTCTGACCTAATAATTACTCAAATCCCTTAGCTTAAATATATATCCATAAAAAGTATATTTTTAGACTGTTGAACTTTCCTTAAATTTATTTACATTATTATAAATTCTCCTCACAATCTCATATTGTCTGCAAGTATTACGTAGCTTGCAATTCACTCAATCTTCCTTGCATTGTTATTTAAATAAAAATAAAATAAAAATGTAATAAGACGCATTCATCTTCAATGTAACAAAAAAAACTTAATTTTTTTATTTTCTATCAATAAAATGTTTCTCATAAAAACTAAAATTCTTATTTTCTGATAATTTAATTTCCTCTTTATCGATTTAGGGCTAAAAAAAATATTAAATTACTTTAAGTGGTATAAACAGTTAATAGCTTCCAACATTTCGTAAGCCTCTATTTTATTAATGACCCCAACAAATTGAAACTTTTTTATTCACCCTAACTTTCGCACGCCACATACAGACTTAAAATTTTTAAATGATTTATCAATTTGGCAATAAATTAGTTTTATTTTTTTCAGCACAATTTTGGAAAAAAAATTACAAAATTACACAGTAAAAAATTTTTATATTTAATATTTAACATTTTTTTTTGTTGATTAAAAATTTTAATTTTTAACTCTAATATTTCACGCAAAAATTTTTGACGCAACGCAAAATTTTTTACTGTGTAACAAAAAAAATAAATTATTTTATCTTACATAGCTTCATAAAATAAATATCTATTTAAGCTTCACTGTTGCGGAAATCGAGCTTATACTGATTGGTCTGAAATGAAGCCTCCGAAGAAAATTCCCCAGACTTGCTGCAAATCCCGCGACAAGTGTGCCATTGACAACATAAATGACATTTACGATGAAGTATATTTAAAAAAAACAAATAAATAACTTATCAAACTTATAAAAAAAATGAATAAATTTACTAAATTTTGTATTTTTACTTTTTAGGGCTGTTACGACCTGGTGATCGATTTTATTAATAGTAATATTGGTCTGGTAGCTGGAAGTGCTGTCGGGGTGGCTTTCTTCCCATTGATTGGAGTATTTTTGGCATGTTGCCTCGCAAGTAATATTAACAAAGCTAAGTACGAGCAAGTGGCTTAAATCAATTATTAATTAGTTAGTTTATGCAGACTATTGATTATTTATTACCTTACTTTGATAATAATTGGCGTCATATATGTATACAATGTCTATTATAATTAACTAAAAATTTTATGATTTTATTCTGAAGATTTCTGCATGGAATATTGCTGATTTTTTATTATTTCAAATGATCTATTTAAAATAATTTTATATTTTTTTCCATCTATTCTATTTTTTCTAAATATATATCGTTGAAGATTATATAACTTTTAATATGTTGTGTAATATGATATGACTGTGAATTTATTAGAAGATACTATTGGGAAAAGCAGGGCAAGTTGAGTTTATTAAATGAATCATTAGATAGATATTTTAAAAATTAAAATAAAACATAATTAATCTTTGTCTTAATATTGTGCGACTTTTTTCTGAAAATTAACATTTTTCACATTTTAAAAATGACTCTATAAAAAATTTTGAATAATCTTAGAAATAATTGCTTAACCTTGACAAGTTGGGAGTAAAGCACAACTTTAAGCGCGTCGTGTTACGAGGCGTGCAAAAGTAAAAAATACATTTTTTAATTATAATTATACTTTATCGATGTGATTTTTTGTTCATTGGAATCAAATGAATTTTTCAAGAAAAATTTGCTAGAAAATATTATTAAAATTTTTTCGATTCATGCATGCTTGCAAATTTTAAGGAGGTTATGGAAGAAAACAATATGTAACTTTATGAAACAAAATTCTAATGCAAAAACTGCTAAATAAATTTTTAAAAATTGTTTTTTATTTTTGTCATTATAAAAAATAAAAATTATTTTTATTTAATTTTAAATAATTATATATTTAATCCGTTTGTTGAAAAATTATCATGTGGTATTACAAGCGACGCATTAACGCAATTGCGCATGTGAAGTTGTAAAAAAAAAATGTTGACTTTTTGGGAGATTTTATTTAATAACAAGTCAGAAATTTATAATTAAACTTAAATTTATAACAACTTAAACTAAACAAAACATCACCAAAAAAAATTTTTGTGCCGCTTAGGTAAAGAAAAATTCAAGAATTTTGTGAAATTTTTAAATTTAAATTGAATTTTTTAAAAAAAAATATTTGAAATACAATTAATGGTTACTCTTGCCCAGTTTTTCTAAAATTATATACTACCCAATTTTATTGTATCCATATAAACTATTTTTATTAATTATCTGTAACCAACAATTCCATTAAAAATAATTTATAGAAATATTTTTGAGAAAACAAATTTAATTGTTATATCTTATTATAATTATAATTAAAATATTAATTATTTAAAAAAAGTAAACTTACATTTTATTGTTAAACCATTTATTTTCTTCAATAGAGTCTATTTCAACAGTTTCCATGACGATAAATGTTTAACAATCATTTTTTTATAAAATATATATAAATAATTATTGAAGAATATATACGAAGTATACATGTATTATTAAATTAAATCACATGATATAATTATCTTAAAGTGAAGTATGTTACGATATTGTTGAAACATTTTAAAATCTTCATTATGAACAGTAATAGATATAATAAATATAAAAAAACTTGAGAAATGACGAATTGTGAATTGCATTAGTTGCAGAGTAAATCATTGAATCACACTTATGCAAGTGAAAATTTTTACTTAGCTGATAATTGTGCGTATTTATTTGTAAAAGACTTATTCTGCACTCAATATCATGTTTGTCATTTTTTTGTCATGTTATATTTAACAATTTGTGAAAAATACAACTCGAAATTTCATTTTACACGCAGAAAAAAATTACATTGTATAATTAACAGGGCAATTCATATAAAAAATTATAGTTTCAGATTGTAATTTTTATGTATTTTGTAAGAATTACATGGTAATATTTAAATATAACCCTTAAAGCTATAAAAATTAATCAAAGTTTGAATTTCAAAAATTTTATTTCAAACTGCAATTTTTCTCTTTTTTTTTTTTTCCGTATAAAAATCTTCAAAATTATTTTCTCGGTTCAATAATTTTACTCTTAATTCAAGTTAATTTTTCTCTCAGTGTAATTAAAAATAATATCCGAATTTTACAATCTTATTCTTTTTTATGGTGTCAAGTAACAAAAAAATAATGACATAAAAACACACATTATAAGCACGCGCTACAATTTAGGACTTTTAAAAGTGAAATTTCGAGATATGTGTTGCATAAAAAAAGTCAATTTATAATAATAATTTATAATGAAAGTTCTTCCAAGAAAAATAAATTAATTCTTGCGAACTCCATATAAAATATATACAATGATAATGATATATATATATCTGTCCATCTGAATGATTGTAATTCTTTCTGCGATATATACCGATTACAATATCTAATATATATTTATTGTACTATTAAATTTCAATTTTATGAAAACTTAATGTATATTATATTTACATTATATATTATATAATAAAAAATCAATGAGAATATATTAAAAAGAAGAAAATAATTTTTTTATTTAGTATTAGTTTGATTTACAAATTATCTACCAACTTAATATTTACAGTAATTGATTCAAGTTAATTTTTTTTCTGTGCATTCAGTGATTGGCAGAAAGTAAGTTAACATTTAAATTTAAATGTTTTGATAAAGTAATCAGTAAAATTAGACAATTATTCTGGTCTTTATCTATTAAAATAATATATATGTCGACGTAGAGATAGTATTTGTCCAACTTATAAATTTCTTAATATACAATATTTAGTAATAAATCTATTAATAAGACAACATAAATAAAATTGATGCCGTATTTCATTCTTCAGTAATTGAACGACGTGTGTAATGTGTTGTGCTAAAAAAAGATGGGTGTCATAATTAATCTATTACTTTTTATAACAATATTATTGCCTGTTTTGTTCGACATTGGTGAGTGCCGGCGGTCATCAAAAGAATTTAATACAGATGTGTTTTTTTCGTACTATAATTGTAAAGGAAAATTTGATCGCGATAAAATACGGATGTTAGCTTCACTGTGTTTCATGTGTTATGACGGAGATTGGGGAGCGTATCGATATCGATATTATTGTAGGTTTGTATCTAGAGATTAATAGCTACCAAAATACACTGAAAAAAATTTTTTTCAAAAATTACTGTCAAATTCACGGCAATTGTGGGACGGCTTTATAATTTGCCGATAAGTGGAATAATTTTTCCGTAAAAAAAATGCATTTTTATTTCAAAAATGCTAATAAATTAAGGGCTGCATTATGTCCCACGATTACAGTGAATTTAAGGGTAATTTTTAAAGAAAATTTCTTTCCGTGTGGAAATGACTCGAAAAGTCAAAAATTTTTAGAAAAAGATACATTTTTTGCGAAATTTCAAACTCGGAATTTTATCAGAAAAATTATTCAAATTAAGTTCTGTTTTTTTCGCAAGAAGTGTCTTTATCTATACCGATTAATATTTATCAATCATAAAAAAAATGATTCAGTTTTGAAAAGAGTTATTAAAGTCACCTTGAATTATTTAATGGTGCAATAACTGACTCATAGCGTACCTATAGAAATTGAAAAAAAATTTACTACTAATATTGTAATATTTTAAAAATTTCATAACTGTATGAATATTTTTAATTTTCGATTTATTCTAATAAATTAGTGAAGTTTGGTCTCTGAAGCGTTTGTTACTAAACTTACTATTTTTCCAGTCGTGACTGCTTCCAAACTTTTACATACAAGGAATGTCTGCAAAAATTGACATTATCGCAAAAAGATTTGGAGTCAATACAAAGCGATTTCGAGTTCATAACAGATAATAGAAATTTTTTCAAAGAATTGGTCAATCAGGTTTATGTATTTTTTATGTAATTATACGGTTTAAAGTTTATTTTTAGAACAATTTTACTAAATTTTCCGAACTAGTAAAATCACGGATTCAACATCTATGACAAAAAGTGTGTAAAAATTGGAAGACTTAAAAATTTTTTTTTCTGATCATTAGGGTGTTCTTTCAAAAGAAACTACTGACAAAACAACAGAAAACATGGATAATTTAATGGTTTCTTCAACTAGTCACCGCCCGGTATGAATTATATACCTTCAAAATTGAATATCTTTACTTCGTTGCAAGAATTGAAATGTTAACTATTATCTAGGAAGTACATCATGTTCCAAGTGTTCACTTTTTACAATCAAATACATCGGTATCTTTTAAAAATCATCAGAAATCAAATAAAGAAAACTCCGCAAGCAAGAAAATTCCGCCCTATAAGATATCACTTCTTGGATCCGGATGACTTTATGATTATTATTCAATTGTTTATAAGTAATAATACATGAACAAATTTTTACAAATTGTAAAAGTATTTTTTTATCTTGTTACCAATTCCGGACGTAGATCGACGGTCAGTTTCAGTTATCCTGATAGCCAGCGTTTTCTTAGAAAGTAGTTGACTTCCAGCAGTTACGGTTAACTTAACATCAAATTGGCGGTAATTCTTCACTCAACAACAGTTGTAAGCAAATTGACGGAAATCTACAGCCGAAACTTGAATACCAGTTAACAATCAAACTTGTGGATAAATTTCCTTTCAACATTACTACAATTTGACTGAAATATTTGTACAGCAAGTCTTCACGTCAAATTGAAGAGTAGCTTATAGAAGCTGCCTATAAGTTACTCTTCAATTTGACGTTAAGGTGGCTATATCAGGGTACCCTGCCAGAGTTTCAGACCAACAAAGTTAATTTCAGATAGTTGCCACTAACTTAGAGACAACTTGCGGTCAAGTTCCGAATTTGTAACTATTGGCATCAAGTTGGCTACAAGTTTCTGAGAGAAAGAAGATCAATCTACTGCCGCAATATGTCGCCCAACTTTTTGAGAAACTTGTCGTCAACTTGATGTGAAAAAGTTTCAGAAGCAGTTTTTGTTAACAACTTGGTGAACAAGTTGCGGCAGTAAATTGACAGAAAGTTCCCCGATAGCCAAGTTGGCAGCAAGTCTTAGAAATGCACTCGGTTGGTATCAAC